TTCCAAAATCACCAAATAAATGGGAAAATTAATGTAGAAACAAGTTGGACACTGGTGAAACGTCAAGTTCCTGCATTCACCTGTGCCTACAAGCGCTCCTGAATGTATTTATGAAGGCACTCTGCCTGAACACTGACACTTAATGATTATTTTCTCAGTATGATTGATGGCACTAAAAAAAATAATTATGGTTTTGACTTGCTAGAGAGCTTTTCTAATGGTACACCTTAATTAGACAGTTCTGGTGACTTTCAAGGCATTTCCTACCCCAAGATATCGTCTTTATTCCTACTTTACTACTCTCCAAACTGTTACTTTTCTTGTTTTAGAGTCTCTTTTCTGCTACAGTTATTCATGTACCTTCTCTACACCTCCTTTTGCAGGAAAGGAAGAACCATATGGTTTGAAGTTGCAGCATATAGATAGGACAAAATCATGTTGGTGGGTCCTGTCATTCACTTCAGCTCTTCAGTGGATCATGTGGTGGTCTCACAGTTTATTTAATAATAAAAAAAAAAAAAAAAGGATGAAAAGGATGGGAGGGAAATTATGATGGTTGTTTGCAACAAACTGAAGTTAAAGATGATTTTCAGTCAGGCCCATGTGTTTTCAGGGTGATTGACCTTTTCAGTGGGGTTGAAAGATCCCGGATTCTGTAGTGACAGAGAAATAGCTTTAGTTGTGCTTTTCTATTTACCCATTTCTATTTTTATACAAGTTGTAAGTTTAAAACATGGGGATGGAACATGTTAGTGCAGCAACAGCTATTGCTTTTTTGTTTTGTTTGCATTTGTGTTCAAATAGCTTCTGAGTGTAATGGCAAACATGAAATGTGTTTGTGTAGCCCTCAGGCCAGTGATTTATCATGGAGTTTTAAAGCTGTTGACTGGGAATGACTTCACTATAGCTGGTACGGTTCCTGTGGGGAAAATATTCCATAAATTAAGAGAATGGGGGACAATGGTAGGTGCGTGTTTAAGCGATAAACTAGAGTATACTTATTTAGCACAATATTGTTTAATTTCCTTTCCCCTTTCCTGTCTCCTGATCTGTTCCTGCATTGTGTGCCCCCTACGGACGTCAGTAAGTGAACTGACTGACTCAGCAGAAATCTGGTGACAACACAGGGTAGGGAATCTGGGGCGCTTGGATTTGCCCGTGAGAGCTCAGCATCGGCGAGTGGGTGCAGGCGAAGCTGCAACGCAAGAGAGGGCTGCACATGAGTACACCCTTACGTAAAACCTGTCCTTTGTAGTCCTTCATCTCTGCTCTTAGTCATAAATACTGTTTTCACATAAGACACAGTAGTTCTGAACAGAATGGTCGAAATATCTTTTGCTTTAAAGAAGAATGCATTAAGCCCTAACTGCAGGTAGTAGAGTTAAGAGATTTGTAATGGTGTGTTAATAGTGAACGGATTTTTTTTTTTCATATATTGCTAATTTCCTCTTTTCTTCCCCCAACTGACTGCTACAAGGGTGAACAGCCAAACACTAAAAATGAATGTAACTTAAGCTATAGGTAAGTTTGTTTGGTCTCAGAGCCTGATGACTGAAGACATCTGGCAATCTATTTGTTTGGTTTTTGTTGTTTGTTTAGGACTGTTTCTAGTCTTACACTTTTGTCAGAACTGTTTTTAAGCTGGTAGTAGCTCATTTAAGTGATGCTGTACTGTAAGTACCCTTTAGAGATTTAAAAGCCAGAAATGTCAAAACTCAGTACTAAATTTCAAATGTCACAGTAATAAATGGCTTAACGCTTCGGGCAGTCTGTGTCCAGCCTACTTTATGTTAATTGGCTTTTGGAAGGGGAGTGGGTTTATATTTGTGAAGACTTGATTCATTTTTCATAACATCCAATTGAACAATGGTCTAACATACTCTTTTAGAAAACCAGACAGAGGTAAACCTCTTGCAGTAGTACATTGTATTCTCCTGACCTAAACTTTATCATTTAAACTAGGTGAACAGTTTAACCTCCCCAGCAAATTCCTTTTTTCTTGACAATTTGGAAACTTTCCCTGCTGAAACAGATAGAGGATGTATTCTTTTATGTGTGGGTGCAGAGCCGTCCCCTCTGATACAGACTGTGTGCTGTAGAACAAGCTAGAGCATTTGTGATTATCTCACTGGTGCTGCCACCCTAATTTGAAGAAAATTCAGAAAGGGAACGACCGGGTACTACTACCGAAAGAGATGTACCTCATAAGGCCTGTGAGGATAGGCCAGTTCTGGAATAAAGAAGGTAATATTTTATGTTGGGCTGAAACAAGTAGAACAGCTGTGGAAGACAGAGCTATCTTTGAGTGAAATGGCTTGAATGGTCCACTTTTGTATTTGGGATTTGAAACCAAAAAACCCCAAACTACAACCAACCAGGAGCCATCCCAAAGAGCTACTGTGTCCAGGTAAGCAGGAGAGCTGTGTATTACCTTGTTGCTTCTGTAAACTTTGAGGGCATCTATAAACCCGACAGTGATAGTCTGACACAAGTGGAATGATCTTGGTCGTATCACAAGGAGGGCAAAACACAGGGAGGAGGATGTCACCTTGGAGTGCTTGGATGCAGTGGCTTGGTGTGGCCAGGCACAATAGGATAACCTTCCAGACTGGAGCTGCTCTCTAATGTTAACAGTCAATGCTGAGGACGTGAGTCTGGCAGACATTAAATCCAAAGAGGCTGCTGGGAGCTCAAGTGTTAGAGCAAGGATTAGGCCAAGCTCATCTCCACTGAGCATGTGAGTGCTGGTGGTGGTTACGCACAGGCTGGGCACTCAGAGGCAGCGGGACCTCCAGCCACCCAGATACACACAGCTCTACTCAACAAAGGCTGGTGCAACTAAGAATCATAGAATCGTCTAGGGTGGAAGGGACCTTTAAGACCATCGAGTCCAACCATCAACCTAACACTGCCAAAAACACTATGTCTACCCGTCTTTTAAATACCTCCAGGGCAGCTTCCCTGGGCAGCCTCTTTCAATGCTTGACAACCCTTTTTGTGAAGAAATTATTCCTAATATCCATCCTAAATCTCCCCTAGAGCAACTTGAGGTCATTTCCTCTTGACCTATCACTTGTAATTTGGGAGAAGAGACTGACTCCAACCTCCTTTCAGGGAGCTGTAGAGAGCGATAAGGTCTCCCCTCAGCCTCCTTTTCTCCAGACTAAACAACCCCAGTTCCATCAGCCGCTCCCCATAAGATTTGTGCTCCAGACCCCTCACCAGCTTCGTTGCCCTTCTCTGGCCATGCTCCAGCACCTCAATGTCTTTCTTACAGTGAGAGGCCCAAAACTGAACACAGTACTCGAGATGGGGCCTCACCAGTGCTGAGTACAGGGGGACAGTCACTGCCCTGGTCCTGCTGGCCTCACTATTCGTGATCAGGACTTGATCAGGCCCTGCCCCAGGTGAGGCAAACTTCAGCAGGTTGGACCAAGCCCTCCCTTCTGAAGTAAATTACTTCATTCATGGGAGCTTTGGACAGCAATAACCCTGTACTAGGAATCACAGAATGGTCAGGGTTGGAAGGGATCTCTGGAGATCATCTAGTGCAACCCCCCTGCCAGAGCAGGGTCACCTACAACAGGTTGCACAGGACAGCGTCCAGGCGGGTTTTAAATGTCTCCAGAGTGGGAGACTCCACAACCTCTCTGGGCAGCCTGTGCCAGTGCTCCACTACCCTCAAAGTAAAGAAGTTCCTCCTCATGTTAAGATGGAACTTTCTACGTTCAAGAATGATCCTAACCCCTAAAAATCACAACAACAAAATAACCATCATAGAGATAAACACGCAAATCTCATTATTAACAGCACTATGGATGCTGAACTAATTCCAGCTGAGCTTGAATATGTGAATAAATGTTTTTAGTGTCTTTAAGGTGAACAACTACTGGCAAGTACTGTTGAAATACCAAATTCAGGCAGCAATGACTTTGTTTTCCCTCTTAAACTTTCACAGCAGGCTTGACAATTTGCTGAATCTTCTGCTGTACTACTCCAGGCTGTGATCAGAAGCTGCTCATCCAAATTGCCACACTTGACTGGATTCCTCTTAGCTGTAACTGAGAAATGCCGCCAGAAGGAGGACTGCAACACCGAGTGGAGATCACACCACTCACACGTGCGCTGATGGGCTTGAACAACGCACTTCCAGCTGCTCGGGGGGTGCAGAATTTAATCTCAGCGAGCACTAAGGATTACAGCACTGACCGGGCAAGCGGGAGACTTCGGCTATTCCAGCCGAATCTGCTCCTGCGCCATCAATTGGGCAGAAACAGAGAGCAGCAGAGGCAGCTTCCCAGGGAGAAGCCTTTGATTAAGCATTCCCCCAAGCACCCTTGTGCTTCTCTATCTTCCCCCAGAACTGGGCAAATATTTTCACCGCTAAGCAATTATGAAAGAACAAGGCACCGCTGCCTCTGGCTGTTCAGCCAAAGCAGCTACAGGCTACTCACTGCATTTGATTTCACTGTGCTAATCTGTTATTTCTTGGGCATTACCACTTAGGTCTACACATCCTCCCACTTTGCCTTAAGCAAACGCTAATTTGCATTGGTTCTGCTGCAATGCAATTTCAAAGCAATTGTAGTTTAGAAATGTAACTAAAACCAAACAAAAAATAACTAAGCAGTCACAGTCCCATGAAAAATGGTGAGAACAGTGTCACAGTACCCTTGGAGAGAGAAGGGGCATGTCGCACCCAGTCTCTAATCGGTACCTCTGGTCTGCGTGATGTTTGCACAGCTGCTTACAGAAAAACCTTCACCACACAGTACAGGAAACTATTTTAGTCAAACGCTTTCTTGATATTTAACTGCCCGTGTGTTGTTAACAGCTCTGTTATCTAGCGGCGTGGTAACTCCACCTGACTCTGTTCAGGAGCCATCGGCACATCTGCAAGCATGAAATCATGTGCTTGAAGATTGATGCTAAATATCAAATTCAAGAAATTGCTAGGGATAAAGTCTGAATCAAATGGGACCTCTCTGAAGAAAAAAGTACTACCCTGGTGTAACGTACTGGTCAAAATCTGGAGTACAGTAACCGGATTCATGTGTTAACAGTCACCCTACGCCTTCACCTTGGGCATTCTCCCCCCTCTTCCCTGGCACCTCCACGCTAATTCACCTCAGCAAACTGACCTCTGCGACTGCCCTCTCTCCCCCCGAGTCAGCAGCTCCAGATCTACAGCTTGAACAGAGGCCCACGCTCCAGCTTATGTGATGGGAACCACGGGAGAGCTGTGCTTGGAGCAGCCCTCTGCCCTGCACCGTCAGTCCCCCGCGCGCCCCTCTCCCGTGGATATGAACAATCGAACGAAAAAAATCCCCAAATCCCTTATTTTCCCACCCCTTGGCAATGAGGTAGAACTACATTATTATCTCCTGGCTTAGGGCTTATTTTGAGTATTTTTTCAGTGTTTCTAAAACTTAATGCTAAATCCTTCCAGTAGTTCTTCTCTTCCTAAAATGATCCCGCAACTCCTGAGCGTAGCTCTCCTGTGCTCAGTGCTGCCCCACCTGAAGAGGAAAAAAAAAAAAATTTGCCTGTCATAGAGAAGTTAAATGTTTTTCTGGCAGACAGGTTACACTACTAAATACTAAATTTAGAACTCCTTTCTGTTAGGAACTTGGAAATTAAAAAAAAAAAATAAAATCTACAAATCAGTGCCCTTTCCTATGATTTTGGCAAACTGGAACTCTCTCTCGGTCCATAACGTCCCAATGGGATGGGACTCTCATTAACGCCTCGCCGCTGTGCAGGGGCCTCTCCTGCGCTTGCCTTCAGGACTCTTACAGACAGCACAACTCCAGAAAAGGCGAGAGAAATTAAAAGAGAGTAGCAAAAATACCCTCCTTTTACTTGACGCTCCATCCACGATGGATGCTGGGAGTCTCTGGGAACGCATCTGGTCACTGAATGACTGTGTCCCCTCCGAGCACAGCCCAGCTGACGGTTCCCACAGAAAATGCTTTGAGTATTCCGTACCGGCATTTTCAGCACCAGGAAAGCCAGCCTTGGTCTCTCATGTATCTCTTACAGCGCTATAACCTTTCCACCTCCAGAAAAGTCATTGCCAACTGCCACGAGTCACTTGTAGCAGCGCTGTCTTGTCTTATGCACTGCATGGGCGTTGGCACAAAACACATTCACAGCACAAAAGCACACACTGCTCACGCGAACAGCACTCCTCCAGCACATCCTTCACCTCTACAGCATCTCAGAGCTTGCATCCGAAGGCTTGCGTGCCTCCTAAATTCTTATATCCAACCACAGTACAAGATCACCTTTAAGGGATTTTGTTATGGCACTGCCATTTTTTCAGCCATTCCATTACTTGAGGCTTCAGAGGACTCTGCAGTCCTTTGCAGTACAAACCTTCAGTGTACACAGTCCAAGCTCCAAAATTGGATAATTGATCCAATACACAAAACAACCGGAAAATATTTTAACTAAAGCCTTTTATTCTATACAACTGTGAAACATCATTTACCCTTCTGGCATTGCAGACTCTTCTGTCAATCTTTCCTGAAACTGTGTTTCGGGATGGTTAGAAAGGGAAAAAAAGAAGAAAAATTACAACTTTGGCTGATTTCAAATAAAATTACTGGGAGCAATTCCAATGCGTACAACGGGACAGCAAGACAACCAGAAAAAAAACCCCAAACCCAAACAGCGCCTAGTGGAACAAGCGTAGACCCTTGCTATTAATAAATACAAGTCAGGACAATTTACCAATAAAAGTGACAGTTCTGTTTAAGCATTTAATTCACAAATATCACTAAAAATGTGCGGTTATAGCACAATCGTGTCAAACTGAGCATATACAGAAACTGGGATTGAAAACTGAAACTGACTCTCAAAAGACAGGGAAATAGACACGCTAGCTTAGTTCTAAACCCTATTTTTTGTTTAAGCAGTGAGTTTGTGTAGTTAGGTTAAGAGTGCAGAAGGTAACGATTTGATTATTTTTTAAAAGAAAATACGGTGAAAAATATTTTACTTTTTGTTTGACCAATACAATCCCAGTAATATAATTTATTGGGACTTTCTTTAGGCCTCAACCTACATCTTGATAGCAAGATACAGGAAGGGCAAGAGCATATGTCTCCTGAAGAAACTCGAATAATATACTGCCCTTTGAAGGCACTTGTGCTTCTGCTTCAGACAAGAGTCATTTTTACATAATTTCTTTACGAGGATTTGTAATTTGTTCTGGCTACAAATGGTTTTCTGGGGCAGCCCCACATTTTCTCACGAAAAGTTGAAATGCCTTTACCCCCTCCCCCCAATAAGTTAAACTCTATAAAAGATTACTATGAGTCTATGACAGTCACAGATTTTTAGAAATAACAGTGAAAAGAAGATTCGCATAAATCTATAACAAAAGAACAACTGCATATAAAACTTCGGAAAAGAAGAATAAGTATTTTTATATCATGACTATGAAATCTGCTGAGAAATTTCTAAAGTTTAACATTAAACATATGAAGTTATTTTCAGAATGGTCTGAAGTTTTAACAAAACGTCACATAGTTTTGGAGCACAGTTACCAAAAATTAGACTAGTGTGTCTTTAGAACACCTAGGACACAGTGCAGGAAGTAGTTATATATATTTACGAAAAAGAAAATCTTTAAGTTGCTGCTAAGCATGTTCACTCTATTATGATGCACAGCATCATCTGACTGACTGCTACAATATTTATCTAGTGTTCTTATTCTGCATGTCAACAGCTCTCTAAAGCAACAATTGCGTTGCGGTATTAAAACAATTCTAACATTAACCCTTCATTTGCAATTAAATGGGCCGATTCTTTCAAGTATTGTTGTTTTTCTTTTCCAAATTTCTTTAAGTGGTAGAAATGTTTGAGTAACCCGTGAGAAATCATTGTAGGAACTTTATGAATGGAATGTACTAAAAAATACCTCGTGTGCAGTTCTGAATTATATTGTGAACACAGCGACTAATATGGCCGAACCAATTTCATAACAAGCATGAGCAGATGAGGATATTATGTTCTGGAAAAAGAAAAGCAAAAAAAAAAGGAGGAAGCAAAAGTCTGCACTGGATTATCATCCATTCTCTGTACACCTCACACAACACGAACCACTCAGGGACTTCCCATCTCATTGGCTGAGACTAGGACAGACTTTAGTTTAAGTCATATAGATTTTTTTTCCTCTATATTACAGGTCTATTAGTCACTTCAATTAAATGTATACTTTCTGTCCATACTGAGTCATTAGAAGTCTCATCTACCTTAGGGGTTCAGTGGGCTTCTATAGTACTACACTTGGAACCAGTACAGTATGGTCAAGTACGTAAGTAACCATTTGGGTCCACCACTCCCTTC